ATTAACAGGAAAATAACAAAGAATCACTAAATCTATTAGTAGTACCATAACTAGGAAAGATGTCACCACAGCAAACCTCCAAGAGAGGATTGTCAACCAAAACTCTCAGACCAGGTAAGGAAGACATTAATTAAAGAATTGTCCAAGAGACTTCTGTTGAGAAGGGAATATCCGTCCACTGGAGCATTATACAATGCACACTGGATTTAAGCTGGGCTTCTTAGAAGAGCGGTCAGGGAAAAGCCATTTAAAGAAAAATAATAAAGCAGACCATTTGGAATTTGCCAAAAAAGTATAGGAGACTCCCAAACATGTATAAATCAGTGCTGTGGTCAAATGAGACTAAAATAGGATATTTAGGCCATCAACACCAAGATTTATATACTGTAAGCCTTACACCTATCAAAATGCTGAAAACACCAAGCACACAATAAAGGACAGTGGTGGCAATGCTGTGGGGATGCTTTTTAATTGGCAGCAACTGGATAAGGAAGGTAAGATGGATGGAGCAAAACATAGCAAATACTTGAGTGAATCCAGATGGACTCTTTCAGAGATCTGAGGCTGCAGCGGAGGTCCACCATTCAGCAGGACAATGACCCTGAACACACCACTGAAACAACACTATTGGTTTAGAGAGACTAAAGATTGCAGCAAATAAGTGGCAGCCATCAAACTTGAAGGAGCTGCAGCAGTTTGGTAATAAGGAATAGAGAAAAAATTGTAGTGGTTTGATTTACCAAACTCATGGAGGTAGTAGACCTGCTGCAAAAGGTGACTCAACAGAGTATTAACTTTAGGGAGAATACATGGATACACTTTGAGGTGTTTCTTTTAATTTTGGGATGCTTTAAAACAAGTTTTGTTCTACTTTTTCTAATAGTCTACATATTTGTAGTGGGTATACTGTGCTTAGAAACCAAAGTACACCGGTTAGTTCAATGTAATCATCAATTTATTTTGATTTTTAAGCATACTGAACATTTTCAACTTTCTCTGATTCTTATATTTGAATAAATGTACAACAAACTTTGTACAACAGTTGGCTTTGTATTAAAAACATGTTATAGAATTTAAAAAACAGTATCAAAGCAAAGCGCTGCATACCGATAGTTACGGAAGAGTTTAACTGCTGTTTAATGTATCAATCACACGTGACTAATGATATGGCATGTATCATTGGGCACTTTTAAGTGGGTCTACTGAAATTCTTAAGCTTTTCTTGTGGGTATACTCAGTATACCCGAATATCACTTAGACTACACCACTGCTTGTAATCAAACTGAAAATATAAGTTGTAAAGCAGTAAAATATGGACATCAATGAGGTGAATACTTTTATACATTCTTTCCTTCAAACTTTGTATCAGAAATAACTGCGATGTGAAAGACCTTCACTCGTGTTCGGTTTGTGAGGAAGCAAAGACATTCTTTTAACGTGTTTCACACTTTATTTATAGAAAAGCACTGAGATTTCAACACAAATCAATATAAAATGGTAGTAGCGTTACATAAATAGTCATAAATTCTTGCTTTATAGACAGTAGCTCAAGAAGTTGCACAAAAAAACAAAACAAACACAATTTAAAAACAAAAATATGTTGATGATAAGCTAAGATACTTCTGTGGCAACAAATACTGAAAATATCTTTTTAAAATCAGTAGCACAAAGAGGCAACAAACACTTTCGATTTTCCCTTAATGTTAAGAAGGAACTGGAAACAAAAACAGGGAAACAGTAGGTGAACTACATCTCTACCAGTAATCTCCTACAAATAAAAACCTAAAACGTTGAGGAAAACAACAGAAAAACGTCAGGAACTGACTGAATAAACCAACACAGAGGGAAGAGCTTCTGGACGCAACACTGTAGAGTGAACGCATCAGATAACAGCAGCCGAATGCAGCTTCTGCAACTGGAAAAGAGACGATTCTCTTCTGTTAATATTTCCTTTTTCTTACTTTATGATGCAACCTTTTGGATACATAGATTGTGAGGATACAAGACAGCTGCAGAGCACGTATCTCACTGTGCTTTAGACACAAGAAGCTGCACCTAAACACGCTATAGCGTGCCGCTTCAAATCCACGACTGTTCCTGCGTGAGGCGATAGGAAACAGACTGAACAAAGTATCCATGACGCAAATTAGGAACCTCTAAAGGATCGAACAGGTTGTCTCTCTCGTTCACACTCTGACTTTGTGTATTCCGACACCGCTGAGAAGACACTGAAGGCTTGGGTCCTGATTTAAAAAAAACAACAACACAGAAATAAAGCTAAAAATCAACTTTGTACATTGATCGGTCAGAAAGGCATTTTTCACCACCCTTTCACGTTTCGCTTGCTCTAGAAGTTGCAGCAGGTGCAGGTGGTGCGACTGCGCATTGTCCCGACATTTATCCCTTCTTCCTCGTTTCAATAGTGGTTCATCCCACCATGTCTGGTCCCCCACTTAAAAAAAACAAAAAGTTTTTCAGATGGGACACGACCATCAAAATGTTCTGCATAGTCAAGTTTTAGTACAAATCTGTTTACAAATGAATGCCTCGCTCATCGTTTCCCCCTCTACTTCTCATGTTGGAAAACAGATTTTCTTTTTGTTTTCCGTTGCAAATGACAACACAATATTAGCTAAAATAATCAAACTTAAAAGAAATGTACACAGGAGCACCTGAGAAATGCCTTGAAGTCTTTGCTCTTACAAGAAAAGAAAAAAAAAGTTAAATTCCCTCACCCAAAACAGTACACCCTGCCAAAAACAAAACAAAGAGCAAACAAACATGTAACATACTTATCATAAATAATTATAACTTTACAATTTCTGAATCGACACTTTAATATTTACAATATTTTAAATGCTTAATGCTACTACTTTTTTTTTTGTTTTGTTTCTTTAAGTGATGTCCCTGAGAACTGAGCCTCTTTTCTATCGTTTGCTCAGTTTTCCTCCCCTTTCCATTTATTCGTCTTTCTGCATGTCTTCAACAACAACAACAAAAGATACGAGTTATGACTGACAACCCAGGTGGGGAGTAAAACGTAGCTTTCGTGGAATGTAGAGGCAGATCAGAAAATGCTTTTCTGATCAAATCCCCTCTTTCGTCTCTTTCTGTCCGTGTCTTTTCAAAATCCTGTTCCGCTAGCGCACGTCTGCGTCTTCAACCCAGCAAAACAAAGTTTCAAAACAATCAGTAAATAAATGCTGAAGCAGGCAGGAACGTACTGAAGAGGTATTCGTGTGAAACGCTTGCACATTGAGCCTAATCGATTAAAGATTCAAATTCTTGTTATACTGCAATTTAAACGACAATTTGCCGATGAATAAAGAAATGGAACGTAGATGTACTTCCATAAAAACAACTTCACTTCCTGTGCCGAGGCATGAGGTCTCAAATACTTACAATGAAGACGTCGAGTTGTAAAAAGCACAAGTTCTTTTTTTCTGTTTTTTGTCAGTGGACACTCTTTTTCTGACTCCTTGAGTAAGAAAGGGCCACTCTTCTTCACAGTCAAGAATGTTAAGAACCAGTAGCATCCACAACCAACGTCACGCCCTTTTTCATTATAAGACCAAGAAACTAGAGTTTATAAACTAAACAAGTATAACATAGATCTAGATAGGATCATGTGAGTAAGTACTGTTGTGTACTCTGCACTATTCCTTTGTTTTGTTTACTTGACACAATACTTTATGTACCGATTGTTTTGGCCAGTAGGGGGCAGCAGAATAAATTGAAAACACTGGCAAAACTTTCTTTAAAGCGTTAGCAACAACATGCTAATGCATACTTTGACCAACTAAACATAATTATTTTTTAATTAGTAAAATTTTTAATTTATTATGTTCTTTCCAGCCACTTGTTTACAGCGTAAGCTACAAAACTGGCGTTTTAAGTTACAAAGGTGCTTCAGCAAAAAGATGCTAATTTCGAGACGCATTACACTAGTGAAGTTTTACTGGCCACACAAAATGATTTTTTTTTTGCTAGTTCTCCAAATCATCCACTTTTTGAATGAAAAAAGGTAAAAATTTCCGGCTCTATTTGCAGCTGTTAATTTAGAAGAGCTAATGGGAGCTACGAGGTTGGTGCTAAGCAACATTTTTGGCTTTACATGCAGACATCGTAAACAAAAGACAGCTTAGTCCAGCTGTAAGGACGGTTAAATGTCATGTTTTACTATAAATGCACAGTATAAATATTGTAACCGTTTTAGCTAGGTAAATCCAATGGATATTTTGTTTGACAGCTATAGTTTGTTGCATCATTTATCCATGTTATAGTAGCAGGTAAAACTTCACAGTATGCTGGCCAGGCTTTGCATAAAGAAACTTGTTTGACTAGCCTGTAACGAAAAGGCTCTTATAGTGGGGGGAGGATTTAAATGACAGGCAGAATTAACAACCAGCAGTTTCTGAAAGGAAGGTCCATATAGTTTTCAAAGCTTCCTAACAAAGTACAAGAGCTTGAACATGAAGCTGCTAAGTGATAATAGAAACAACGCCGAAGCTTGAATTATGTTACGGGCTAAATCTTGATCTAATGAGTGAAACACGATGTTTTACGCGTTTTAAAGAATCGGTCATAAACAGCTGTGCAGCTGTGGAGTGGTTTCTCTGAACTTGGGAACTCCTCCACACCACAGATGATGTGAATTTGAATTTGTCTCTGTTATCGTTGAGTTTCTGGAAGGCCATAAAAATAAACTGTGTACAGGAGTATGACGATGTGCACACGAAGGCTCAGCTGGTAGCTCCAGCAGCCAGGACGTCACTCAAGCGTTCAACAACATGCATTCTGTGAAGCAGAATTTTTTCACGTAAATTGTTTGTAGGATACCGACCAATAAAGGTTTGTAAATGTCCAGCTATCGACTTCTTCAACAGAGACCAACAGATCTTGCCTCTAAGAAGCCCTGAATGAAACAAGAGGCTATTTCTGCCAGATCAGTTGAAGCTGACATGTGACAGCCGAGGGTTGACACCGCTTTGTCTTCCTCCATATTTTTCTTTAGAAGTTCTTCTCACTTTAAAAGCCACTTCTTCCTCTTAACCACAGCTGAAATTATTCAGTTCCAAGTACACATCCCATCCAGAAGGATCTTTTGGTAATATTTTCATACGCCACCCAAACACCAAACATTTCTTACGCTTTTGTCATCACATTCTTTTGATTTTTCCAACTAAATTTACAATAATTGGAGGGGTAGATACCTTTTGCTTCTTGTTGCTTCTTTAGGTCATATATTTTGCAGTTACAGTTTAAGTAGAGCAATTTACTGCAAACACTTCTTGGTTCACATTCAAGAAACAAAAACAGAATAAAACCTTAAGACTTAGTCAACGAATGGCCCAACAAAAGAAGTAAAAATTCAAAGAATCCAAAGAGCCTTAAATAGATCAAATAATTTGAACTACTTCCCAAAAAAAAAAAAGGTCTCTGTGAGGCAGAAGGTCAGCCGAAACGCTCCCTGACCAACATCATCAGTTTTTTCTTACCCTTATAGATCTGTTTCAGGTTGTCTATAAACTGGGCGAACTGAATGTGGCCGTCCTGTGCCAAAAGGAAAGTCTCCCGTGCTTTGCTCAGGAACTCTATGAACTCTCCATAGTGCCGCGGACTGATGTGCGTCAGCCGAGAGTGTGTGGTGTTGATGTACGCCGAGATCGTGGCATCCAAGAGCTGCCGCAACGGCGCTTTGTCCGTTGACATGAGCTTCCCAGAGTTCCTTCGCCCAGGAATGCCTGCAAGACCCGGTGCCGTCATGGTGCACCGCCGCAGGATGTCGGACAGCACCGTGGCGCAGTGAACGCTCTTCACCACCAAGGGAATAATGGCTGCAAGCTCGTTCTTCCCCAACGAGTGGCTGAGCGCGCAGGCCCAGAGCACGTCATTAATAGCAGGGTGTGTGTCCTGGTTGTAGGCCAGGTTAAGGTGTGTCATGGCGAGGGAAGCCAACTTGAACGACCGCAGGGGGTATCCTCTGTGCTCCATGTACCGCGCGATAGTGAACAGCTGTGAATAGGTCATACCCGTCGACGCTGCGTCTATCACAATCTGGTAGGCCGTCTCAAAGGCGATGTGGTCCTTCTCACAGAGTGTCAGGGCCGACAGGGCACAGTTCTGTGGGTCCTTCATGGCGCACTGCAGAGCCAAAGTCCTCGCGCAGCTGGCCAGCTCCTCCCGCTGGGGGTAGTCGAGGCTGAGGCGCAGGATGGTGTTATGAGACATGACGGTGGCTGCAACAATGCTGGTGGCCTCAGTCGGTGTGAAGAGAGTGTACCAGCTCTGCAAGATGCTCACTAATGCTCGCAGACCTGGTAAGACACACAGATGACATGTGTGTTAGAGGCGTTAAATTATTATAGTGTGAACGTTTATGAAGCAATCCCAATATCAGATCCATTTTTCTTCCGTATGTTTTTCGGCATCTTTCTAGTTCCACAATTTTTTTTGCTATTTCAACTAATCATAAATCAAAACGTTCAGCTCTTTCAGGACAATCCTGTTATGACTTTTGGTATTGGTGCAACTTCAGCTTTTTGAAATATTTAGCCTTTTCTGACATTTTATTTCCTCACAGAAAATGAATTGAGCTCATTTTCCATCCTTCATATCTTTAGAGCTGTTTACCACTTTTTACTGCTCCTTTCAAATTTTGTTTTGGTTCAGCTTCCTGGTGCAAATTTAAATGTTTTTTTCAGCTAATTTCAGCTGTTTTTTAATTGTTTTGTGCTCCTTTCAGATTATTTTTGCTAACTACAAAAAGGTTGTGCTTCTTCCAACTTCTTTCTGCTAATTTCAGCTTTTTAGGCTTCTTTCAGCTTATTTCTGCAAGTTTCAGCTTTTTCTGCTATTCCAGCTACTAATTAGTTGTTTTTATGCCAATTTGAGCTTTTTCAGCTAATTTCACGTTGTTTACAATACTTACAGCAATTTCCAGCCTATTTCAGCAAAAATGTGCTCTCCACTTCCTTCTGGTAATTTAAGGTTCTTTCTACCGTTTTAGCTACTTTTCAGCTATATATATTTTTTTTTTGCTAATTTCAGCTTTTTTCAGATGACCCACTTTTTTGTGCTCGTTTCTTACTTCTTTAATTCTCATTAGCTAAACATGTTCTTTCTGCTTTCTTCTACTATCGTAAGCTTGTTCTAACTTTTCACCTACCTCTTTAGCATTTTTTAGCTAATTTCAGCCGTTTTTAGATAAATTCAAGTTTTTGTGGTAATTTCTGCTACTTTCAGCTTAACTAACTTTTTTCTGGTAATTTCAGCTTGTTATGCTCTTTTCAGCTTTTTTCTGCAAGTTTCAGCTTTTTCTGCTCTTTCAGCTACTATTTAGTTCTTTTGATGCTAATATAAGCTTTTCAGCTAATTCCACTTTAAAAAAAAAACTAATTTCAGTTCTTGCTGCACCCACATGGTAGTTTAAGCTTCTCTCTGCCTTTTCAGCTACTTCACAGCTATTTGTTGCCAATTTCAGCTTCCTTTTTTTTTTAGCTTATTTCTTAATTTTTGTGCTAATTTCTGCTTATTTTAACCTAATTTAGCAAATGTGTTCTTTCTGCTTTCTTCTGTTGATTTAGGCTTGTTCTTCCATTTCAGCTACATTTCAGAATGTTTTTTAAGCAAATTTCAGCTGTTTTTCAGCAAGTTCATCTGAATAAGCATTCACTCTGCATTTTCACAGGAAATGAAATTTCTCTAATTTGTTTTAAAGATCACAAAGAAGAAGAGGAAGAAAACAAATATGATTTTCAAACATTCCTTTAGTCAGCCAACACAGTCCGTGTTTATGATTGTTCCTTTCTTAAAGTCCCTTTTGACAAAGCTGTGAGCTAGAACCTGACAGGTCACTGATCTGTGCCAATTTCATTCACTTATGAAAAGCCAGAACGTGGGGAGAGCACTTTACGCATTTCTATCAAACAATTTAGACTAAATACTCTCAGTGCTGTGCACAAGTTGTTAGACGAGTGCTGACAGGCTGCTCAGAATTCACAACCACTACTTTCAATTTATGTTTTCTTTGAAAGTAACTTTGTTTTTATAAAATATTTCCATCACACTTGAGGCAGTCTGTTTAAAGGCTATGCATTCATAACTGCAGCCTCTTTAATAACAGATGGAATTAATTCCTGTCTCCGTCATCATTAAAATATTAAATACCTTGTGGAAAAAAAATGTGTTTATGTCTCCGTATGATTAATCAACAAGATTCTAGCTGCTTTTGTTTTTTTCCCTTTAATTCAACTCAAAATGAAAGTGAGCCTTAAAGCTGAATTAGGATGCACTGCAGCAAACCAAAGAGACACAGAGACACAACTGGTATGAATCCTGTTTCAGCTGCTGGACTATGCAGGAGTGTGTGCACATACCAACTTCAGTGGCGCAGGTAACCAGCCAGCGAACCATCTCTCTCCTCCTCCAGTTCAGAGTGGACAGTGTCATCCTCATCACCTGCAGAACACACAAACATTCAAGACAAGTTATAACAACTTGTGACATTTGTCCTTTTTTTTGTATCCAACGTAGTGTTTTATGGAAAACGTGGCATAGCTGTGTTGACTAATAAATCAACAGTAAATGCAGAATCACGTTTGTTTTTATGAAATAAGTACACATGCTTTAAAATCACACCTTTGATTATTTTACTTGTAACATTGATGATGAGGATTCAGTAGATCATCTAGTTGCCCAAAGGCAGAGGCAGGTAACACAGCAGCCTGTTATTCTGTGGTGTCTGAGTTTACGCTGGAAGCCAAACTCTTTCATCATGTGGTTTCTTCTCGTCAACAACGGTCAAACTGGGGGGTGATGTTGTTCTGTGCTAATTTGTGGAACAACTTGTGGATGCCCACAGAAACTGCATGTTAAAGGAAACGCACACACACTGTACCTGCAGTCCTAACTCCAGAGCCACGTTGAGCAGGGTTATATCAGGAGGGCAGTCTGCAGGGGTGGCTATCTTGAAGGCATCCTGGGCCAGTTTGAAGATTAGGGAAGAAGAGTGGATGTTTTTCTGGATGGCCTCTAGCACCGTTCGCAATCTCAACATGTCCCCTTGTGGGCAACAAAACAAGATTAATAAACAGTTCCCTCCAACAACAATTGCTCTCTCTACGGGGACGTTCTGGTGTACCTTTAGCCGCAGTGAGCATGGTTGAGGCCAGCTCACATTGCTGGGATTCCAGGTGGCCGAGAGTGAACCAGCGCGGGTATCTGCTTGGAACAATAGAGATGCCGTGATGAGGGTGCCCGACGTCCCCAGAACCTGCTGACGACTCCAGCACTGGCAGCCTTGTGGGTGAAGGCAGACCGAGATCTGTTTAGGACTTTTTGGCACCGACTTAAAGTATTTATTGCACTTTAGCACAAACAGTCATCACATCGAGATATAGATAGCTGCTGAATTAGATAGTTAGGTAAAACTAGTACAGTTCTACAAGGACATTGCACAGTCATGAAGGCTAAGAAAATATGTACGTACATAAGTGATAATTATAAGAAATCTCTTTAAAGGTTTTATATCAGGGATTCTGGACCAGACTGCATTTATTGTAGCTAGATGTAAACACTTACTAGCAACACGTGAGATTTAAACCGTGTGCATCATTATTCAAGCATACGTTTGTTAAAAACAACAGTTTTAAGTACGAGTAGATGCCTCATGTAATAAAAACTCAGTACTGTTTTAATTACAGAGGGAGTTCAGATCTTCTAAAGGGTGACTCTGTAGAAAGGCTATGAACAATAGCAAACCTGTTGTAGATAGCTCTTTGAAAAACATCTGACCAGACTGACATACCAGCTAGTTCTGAAACAAGTCCATCCTAAAATATACAGAGCGGTTCATGGAAACGCTGTTTCATAGACATTTACATTAGTATCTGTTTCATATAGAAAAATGTTGCTGCAGAAATACTATGAAGTTCCAGCTGTTAATGTCCCGGACTGCACTGAAAGAGCTGCAGCTAGCTGCCGGTGTTGCTGCTAGCTGCACTTGCAAATAACCAGGGAATTATAAAAATTAATGTAATATAAAATTATTGGTGATGCGAAGGTTTATAAAGCAACATTTGCATGAACTGCTGTGAAGTTTTTAGTAGATGCAGTTTTTGTATGACAACCCAGTGACAAAATTTGACATTAAACATAATCCAAGCATCATTTTCAGCTCCCTGTTCAGCATCTGCATTTGGTAGCAGGCTAAACTGACAAAGACCATGCAGAATAATGTAGCTTAATTCCACAGCAAAGAAAGCTATGTAGTCTCTGTAAATATGTCTAGGGGGAAAAAGATCAGTATTGGTATCTGTCAGATAAGTTTTATGTTGGTGTATCGGAGATCGGCCAAAAATCCAAGATCTTTAGTTTTTAGGATTGGAGTGGTTTAAGACAGTCCAAATTGGGCCTGCTCATTCTGACTGATAGTTCATCAATTTGGTTCGAATTCAACATTTTCCCCGAACTGTGGTTGTTCAAAGAGATATTTATAACATCAAGGATATTTGCTGTTCAGAATATATCCACAGAACTCCACTTCTAAAAAGCTGAACTCTCATTTTAAAAGGCAAAGACGGTTTTATATCAACAAGTAAAAAGAATCCATGGTTATTTAGAACCAACTAGAAGGGGTAAACCCAGTCTCTTCTCATCTTGCCAAAGATAAAAACAAAAGGTTTTGGTGAATGGAGATCTGACCTCATTGCACGCAAAGCCACTTTATAAGCCAGGTCCGCATCATGTGGCAGCAGAGCAGAAAAAAGGTATTTGGCAAAGGTGTGCATGGGGACACTTTCTCTGTGAATGACTTCCCCGAGACCACTGAATGGACCGGCTGAAACCAAGGACAACAAGGACAAAGTGAATGTTATTATTTAATGTTACTACATGTAGAGGCAATTATGAAGAAGGCGTACCCTCCAGTAGCTGTATGGCCTGCTTCCGAAGCGTCTGAACCAGGAGGTCATCCAGCTCCAGTTCTTGCAGTTTTGAGACGATCTGTTCTTCATTGCGACACACCTGGATCAGATTGAAAACAAACAAAACTCAATGCGGCTGCACAGTCTTATTTATTCAAGATAATGATGGGAAAAACAGAACAATTCTCTGAGGAAGACAAAGAAATGCACATCTGATTGTGCCAACAATTCAATCCTACAACATACTCACTTCTAATACAGCTGAACTACATGTAGTAATGTATTGTATTAAAAATCACTGTATACTTTAGCCCTGTGATGGACTGGAGACCTGTCCAGGCCCCGCCTCTCTTACAGCCACTACTGGATATGGGCACCAGTGACCCCCGCGATTCAAAAAGGATAAAGCGAGTAAAGATAATAGGTGGATGAATGTATACTTTAGTATACTTTCTTTTAAAATACATGCACAAATATGTCCAACAGGTAAAGATCTTTGAAGTTTCAAAACCTTTAAGAAAGGATTTTGAGTTCAAAGATATATATAAAAAAACCAGCAGGAAGCTTTAATACTTCTCACACATGAATTTGTGTAAATCTTTTGTATTTGAAGGGATTTTATTGCTGTCAAGAATTTAAAACAAGGACCTTTAAAGCATGCGACTGATTTTAAATGCAATTCCTGCTTAAAAACATTAATATTGTTGCTAATTCCAGTGACATTAACAAAGGTCTGCAGCAGCCGCTCTAAGCCTCCCAAAAGCAGATTACCATTTGCACAAAGAAACGCTCCTCAGATTTATTTTAATTCACTGTGAACTTAAGTACTGTGACTTTCTGCTTGTTTTTCAAGAAACAAAAATGCCATGACCTTTTCTTTCTTTTTGCATGGCATTTACTTCAAACTGATGTTAAATTATAGTGATTTTCTCTATACTCAACCTTGCCTTCAACAGACAAATTCACAGGAAGCATTTTTTTAATGTGCAGAGAGGCATTATTATACCTCACTTAAGCATGTGTAATTTTAAACAAAAAGCCAAGCATCCTAACATGTTCTCTACAAAGAAAGTTTTTCAGTGAAGAACTTCACTCGTTCTGCCAAACAAAACTCCTTACCTTATCCTGGGCGTACAATCCCTCTGGCATTATTCTCTGCTGGCCCATACCCATCAGAGCCACTTCCAGGGCCAGAGTCAGGTAGGACTCACCCCCATCTGGACTGCCCCACACTGGCACATGATGGTAGACGGGGGGTCTGGGGTCACCGTCTACAAGGAAAAGGCAAAAAAATATTAATAAGAGAAAAAAAGACATTAGCTCTAACCTAGCGGCCTCCATTTTCTGTTTTTGTTTTCTCTGAGAGCAGATCAGAATCTCAACTGGATTTTTATTCTAAATTTTATAAACGTCAACTGCATCTAGTTTAATTAGTTGTCAGAGATTATGAGAGGAGGAAATGAGCAAGTCGGTCTGTTTATTTATTATTAACCTTTATTTAACCAGGCAAATCCCACTGAGATCACAGATCTCTTTTGCAAGGGGGCAGCCTAACATGCATGTTTTTGGTCTGTGGGAGGAAACAGGAGTACCTGGAGAAGACCCATACATGCACGAGAAGAACATGCCAACTCCACGCAGAAAGACCCCAGGTCCAACTGGGGATTGAACCCAGGACCTTCTTGCTGTAAGGCAACAATTATAACCACTGATCCATCGTACTGCCATGTGCTTAGATAGTAAAAATAAGTTAAATACACACACGTTTGACAGAAACAAGAGTCTAAATCAGAACACAACTTAAGTAGTTTACCTGCATATTTATGTGATAAACTGAGTACATTTCTCATAGTGAGAAAGGGGCTGAGACGGGGTAGAGGCAGGGCAGCCGACTTGGGACCAGAAAGTCGCTGGTTCAACTCCCAGCCATGACCACAAGTCGTGGTGTCCCTGAGCAAGACATCTAATCGCTAATTGCTCCCCGGGCCCCTACATAGCTGCCCACTGCTCCACCTGGGTGTATCCCAGGTGCAATGGGTTAAATGCAGAGAACTAATTTTACCATTGTAAGGGAACATACAATGATGACAACACATAACACTTATACTTACTTATACTTAATGGGAATAATATATTTTATTTAGGGGTAAAGATTAACATGAAATGTAAGATTTTATTAATAAAGAATTATGCTGAAGGGTGTAGATGAACAATAACAAAACATATCGAGATTAACACCCAAAAAAATGAAGTTTGATAAAACGTATTTCAGATTGTTTTCAAGAATGTAAAACAGACGTTGCCCACACTAAAGCTATCTAACAGAGAACAGATGCCACGAGAGCCCCAGCTGTTGATTGGTGCCCGTTTGTTCGCTCTCGCTCATCTGCCCCATCACTGGGCTTAAATCCCCTCTGAGAAAAAGATCCCCCTAAATCCTGTTTATTCCACAGATATGTGTGTGAAGATGTAGTGGTGTGTGTCTGAGCATGTGTCGAGACTGAGCGGGGAAATAAAACTGGTTCTACAGACTTAAACCCATTTCATTATTCATGTTTTTTGTGGGGGCTAAAAAACATAAAACATTGTGACTAGATGATGCATAGCCCAAGTCTGCCCACTGTGCAGCAGATGTTTCCAGCTGTCCCTCACAGGACATGGTCACCAGTGTAATTTAAACTTTCACAGATCTATCAGTGCTCATTCCTCAGATTCCAAAACCAGCCTGAGACCAACACTGGGTCACTTTGACCAGAGTACACACAAACACAGATGGCTGCACCAGTGGTCAGTATTGTTCACTCCAACAATACTTCCCTGTAGCCTGGAGACAATGACCAAATCCAGCCTCTATTCTGATCTGTTGTAATGGCCTCTGGTGCAAAGAAAGGAAAAACAACTCCCTGGGTAGGGTGAAAAATGCAAATGTGGATGGATTCTATACATGAACACACATACACACACACAAACAGAGGCGTGTTGTAAATGGACAGGCTGTTTCAATCCAATCCATTCATGCTCTACTAGTTTATAGCAGCTCAACAGCAGACAATTCTCGTGTACGAACATGGAGTCTGTTGTGCGACGAGTCACTCTTATGAGTCTGATCCCCTCTGCGCTGAATTACTCTGGTGAAGCATGGCAGGAATTATGTGTTTAGTAAGAAAAATATCTGGGACCAGACATGGGGCATGGTTTGTACTTTAGCTGAGGTAAATAAATAAAGTTCACAGCGAAGGTTTAACAGACCGGGGGATATCTCTGCAGTTGTGCAGACTAAGGCTACGTTCACACTGCAGGCAAATGTGACCCATATCAGATTTTTTCAAATCAGACCCAGGTCTTTTCCACACGTGGTACTGAAATGGATATGTAGCTGGTGTTTTTCAAAGCAACTACAGTCTGAACGCTCATGTCGCATTTCAGCCGACTTTTACGTCAGTGGGATGGGGTAAGCAGATCGATCCAAGTATAATGAAATGATAATAATGATATGCTGGTGAAGATTCAAGAGATAATAATGATACGAACCTTGAGCAGTTTAAATCTTGGAACTGTGCATTCCTTCAGCTACAGAACAGAAATCCAGTTGCTTTGTCTTTGTTCTTTTAATTTCCCATGTATGATTGATAATCCACAGTAGGACCATATCGATACTAACCTGATGGGATCGATACGAGTTGGTTTCTTCCTTCAGTTTGGCGCTCCCACTACAAAAATAACGCTGCGCTGCAGGAGCCGTCAAGAGGCAAGAACAAACGTAAGCTTGGTTTAATCATGTATGTCAGTAAATTCGATTGGTTCTGATTGCTCAGCAAATTCAGACTCACACATGCTAACATGTGTAGCATCTATATGTACCGTACTTCCTTAAACTCAGCGTGCTGCGTGTCCTGTCACGTTTTCTTCTGCGCACGTTGGTCACCTCAGAACTGTAAACAGTTCACGCTGCAGTCTGACGGAGGTCTCATTTTAATGATAAGACGCTGGTGAAGATTCTCAGTCATCCAGGACATGGTCAATTCAATTTGAATTCAATTGAATTTAATGATAAAGTGAACGACCACACAAAAATGTCACACCTGAGCAAAAAAATGGGAACGGAGCATTAAGACCTGCAGAGTGGACATAGCCTAAATTATGGACAAACAACTGAGGGGATAGTCTTGATTCTACCTAACCTGTAAGAATGTGTGGAAGTTTGGATTAATTTTTTGTAATGACTATTTGAAAGAGAGATTTTCAACCTTGACCATCAGTTCAAATCCTAGATGATAAAATGAAGCAAAAAAAGAAAAGCTAAAAAATAACCATAAAGGAGAAGCTAGAGCCAGCAAATGGTTACACAGCTCTGAGTCATGTCAACAAAGTCCATGCTCAATAATCCAGGTATACAATCCAATAATTTTCAGTCAGGTCATCTGGACAGGTTTTTATTTGTGCTGAAACGTTTCACCTTCCATCCAGAAGGCTTCATCAGTCAAGGGGAAACACACAACACAAAACTGATTCTTCCCCCAACAGTTTACTCCAAAGAACAAACCAGTGATGTTGGTGCTAAGATGGTCTCTGGGGCACGCCCTCTCCTCCAGTGCCCTCCCTCTCCCTCGTGGACAGTCATGTCAATCTGGGTCTGGGTCATGTCATTACCACCACTTCATACCCAGGACACCTAGAGACCCACATACAGCACATCACACGCCCGTTGACAAACGGTTAAACAGCAATCTGTAGCAATTGCCCGGACAAGCAAAAACCTTGTATAACATTCTAAAAAAGTTAAATCTGGTCCTCTGGACATTCGAAAAACAAAACAAAGCAAAACAACAACAAAACAAAATAAATGTAGAAACGTTTCGTCTTTCATTCGAAAGACTTCCTCAGTCTTGTATAACATTTGACTTTGATTTGAGGCCTTGACCTTAGAGGTGTGGTGATGCAAAGTGTGTGCAACGCTCCGTCTAACAATGATGCATAAGTGAAAGGAGCTTCATTAAATTATCTTGAGCGGATCAGAATTTATGAGCGCGACAGTTTCTTCGTACAGAGACCGTATCACAATATGTCCACTTTTCGACAGACTAGTATAATCTTGGTCTTGGTAATTAAATATTTTGATAAACAATAAAGATAAATACAAGAAAAAAGTTTGCTTTTTTGTTATCACATCTGTACCTATTATTGATGCCACATATGCAGACAGACATTATTTGTGCAATTCTTTACTAGACTAGGCTATATCCCTATATAGGCCGGTCATAATGATTTTAGGTTGCTCGTGCCCCAATCTGTCAAACAGCCTTGATTAATCAATTGGTCCAAAGGTGCTAATCTTTTTTTATAAACTCTGAAATGAATATAGTAGCATAGAATGCTTTAAATCATAAATATTGTGGCAGTGACCAAGGCAAGGGTCATACTGGGATACACAACACACACACACCCAGACACACACACCTCCCATTTGTGCTATAAAATGTTACAGTAAGGATGTGTTTCACCAGCTTCATTACTTTGCTCATTTAATATTAACACTTGGGTAACGGTAGAAATGCAAAGATATATTCATGAATGTATGAAAATATTTACAAAAATAAAAAAGTACTAAATCAAATACTAAAGAAGAGATGATTACTAAACAAAACCAAAACTGACTATAACTTTCACAGCTGAACATTTACTGACATTCTACTCAGATATAAAAAAGTTAAATCTGGTCCTCTGGACATTCAAAAAAACAAAACAAAGCAAAACAACAAAAAAATGTAGAAACGTTTCGTCTCTCATCCAAGAGACTTCCTCAGTCTGAGGTGCTGTATTCAGCTCAGTCTCTTAATTTTTTCTACCTGGATTATTGAGCATGCATCAGGATATTCTACTCAGATGTTCTACTCAAAATACTCATGTATGTCTACAAATCACTGAACAGTGTCCCCCCCCCCCCCCCCCCCCATCTCTCTGATCTGCTACAACCGTATGTCCCACCACGCTCCCTGAGGTCAGCGGACCAGTTGCTCCTTACAGTTCCAGGATCTCGTCTTAAGCGCAGAGGTGACAGGGCCTTCTATGTAGCAGGACCAAGACTCTGGAACGAGTTACCTCTGCTTGTCAAACAGGCCCCCTCCCTCTCGGTTTTCAAGTCCCGTTTAAAAACTCAGTACTATTCAGTGGCTTTCAACTCCAGATGATCTGTGTTTTGATCCTGTATGCTCCACACTGGTTTGTCGTCATTATCTGCATCGTTTTTTGTCTATATTCTGATTTACCTCATTTTGTATTTTGCTTTGTGTGTTACCTGTTGTTTTGTCTGTACAGCACTTTGGTTGGCCTTGTAGTTGTTTTAAGTGCTATATAAATAAAGTGGTATGGTATGTTGTTTCTCTGACCCCAGTATCCATGTTTTACGCTATTTTTTAAGTTTAAATACAGAAAGTACTTGTCAAGAGTTTGGCTTTATTTTTATTCAATATGAAACAATGTAGAATAAGTGAAGCGACACCTTTGAATATGCCTGTACGTTCCTGAAATATGATGGGAAATTATAGTGGGGCACATCTGATATATTATGGGATAAGTGCTCCAGTAAAAGAGTTCGGCAAATGTGAGTCCAAAGAATAAGACACAAGGGCCTGTGCACAAAGTGATGTGAACCTCTGGGGTACAAGATGGCTCTGTGACCACGTGACCACCTTTAACATGTTCTTAACATTTAATTTACAGATGATCTGCAAAGCTTGGCTTGCTTTAAGTAGTTGTTGTATTTTCAGCAAAGCTATGATGAGTTCAAATCAAATTTGTTTGTATGGCACATTTAAAACCAACCTCCATTGGTCAAAGTGCTGCACACAATACAAAAAGTAAGAAGACAAAACGAACACAGGAGACCATAAAACAAAAAAAAATAAAAACAGATAAAAATAAGTTGAATAAATATATGAATTCTTACCTCCAGTGTCCATGGTGCCGTCGTCATCCACGCGGCACGTTTCTGTGAGTGTGATGAACAGACAACCAATTGGGTCTAAGGGATGACCCACCCAGCCCTCCAGGTTGGTGGTGGAGGTGACGCCTCTCTGGAGAAGCTCTGACAGCAGAAAGAAAGAGGACGCGTTACTAAAATGACTCAGGTACTGCACTTCTTCCAGGACGTAAACACTCAAACAGTTTGCACCTTTCTTTTGGTGCTTGTAGATGTCCATCTGTCTCTGCTGTTGGAGGCGGAGCGTGTTGATGATCGCGACAGCCAACCGCAGGGCTTCTCTGGTGTAACCATGGGAACGCAGGGCATCCACCCGAGCACATGCTGTTGGGACATGGTCTGTGGGGTGAGCAGAAGAACAAAGTGAGAGCAGGACAGCAAATGTTCACAACAATCCTCTCCAATAATCAGTCTTTGTTGTTACAATCATTTCTCAGTTGTCCTCTCAAAGACTCAACTCACACAAGCTTAGAGTTAGACCTACAAACATGCTTACACACACACACACACACACACACACTGTGCAGTCTCAGCAGAAATCCTGTGTGTGTGTGCACGCGATAGCTGGCTTAAGTTGCAGAATCTGACAGATCTTAGCTGGAAGCTGCTTACTGCAGATACTGGCTTTAATATCAGCAGAATTACTGTGTGTGAGGCAGACAGAGACAGAAAGAGAGAGACACAGAGTGTGAGAGAGACACAGAGTGTGAGAGAGACACAGAGTGTGAGAGAGACACAGAGTGATAGAGAGACACAGAGAGTGACACAGAGACACAGGTAGAGAGACACAGAGAGAGACACAGAGACACAGAGAGTGACAGAGAGACACAGGTAGAGAGACACAGAGAGACAGAGACAAACAGGGATAAGGAGACAGAGCGTTGAGTTGGTTCATCTCAGTAGAAGTGAAGCTCATGTGTAAACTGTCACATTAACTCTTAGTCTCTGTAGGTTCAGTTTAAAGGAGCAGTCTGTGTGTACATCATTCTCAGGGTTTGTTTTAAGCTGAAATAAATATAAGGCCTATAAATAAATAAATAAACTTGTTCACTTCAGACAGACAGTTATAGAACAAAATGTGAATATGATTTTGTGAATGTGTACCGAGCCACAGCGGCAGCCCCTGAGGGTTGAACAGCAGGCTCTCCCCCTCTCGTTGATATGATGGAGACATGTAGAAGTCGCTGCTGATGATCCTCTGCAGGTGGCTGTCCTGCCAGTGGAGGTCGCAGGCCTCGATGGCTCGACTGAACACCGTCCTCCTCGGCCTGGACAGGGAGTCTGACACAGCGCACACGCAGCACACTTAACACCCTTCACAGCACGTGTTTGTCCACAGAGTGTTTTTATTACAGCCTAAGCGTTTCTGTAAGGTGTGTGTTTTTGTGTGAACCTTGTGCGAGGTTACTCTGCGGCAGAGCGTTAGTGATGTTTGGAAGTTCGCTGCCATAGTTGCCATCCTCCAGCGGGCACACATCCATGTCGCCCCATTTCTTCAGCTGCTTCAGCCAGCTGCTCTTCTCCTCGCTCTTACCGTGGGGATTAAGCACTACGCACACCCATAAAGCACCTGGACAACAAGAAGCAGTCCGGATGTGAAAGAAGCAAGAACTGTGGAGGGACTGAAGAGGTGATCGACTCTAGTCTGACTGCACATAAAAATCAAAATTTGACTTTGCTTGTTCAATCAGTCAACCATTAAAATGACCTTCAAATGTCCGTTTTATTGAAAGAGAAACTCACACAGCTCTCCTGCTCCATTAACAAATTTAATATCTGATGCAATCTTTCTATTTATTACTGTCATGACAAACTCCTACAAACAAAAACGACACATTAGCTCTTTGTAGAAACAAAACCCTCGAAAGATAAGGAGCTGTTGTCTAAAAAAGAATATTAAAATCCTTGAATGATGCATTTAGCAAATTTATGGCAGGAACAAAAGCTATTTAATGGTTAAAAAAAATTGGTAGATTTGTTTCATACAGACAGAAATTTGTAAAAGTTAAAATGTGCAGTTATATCGTTAACCTTGAATACACAAGTCAAGAACATTTGAATCAGAATAATTATTAGTTACAATTTAGCTAAAGCCTTAAATTATTTTACTCAGTGTTTCCCCTAGATAACATGCCATGGCGGGGCGCTCCTCTCGTCTGTGATTTTTGTCGAGGGGGGGCACATCTGAGCTGCTGCCGTTTGTACTGGCAGTTTTAGAGCATGGGGGGGGGGGGGGGGGGGGGTGGGGCTGGGGGGGGGTTGCGTATGGGGGCGGGGTTTTTTTTTTTTGGTTGGCGTCCTTGTTTTGCCACCGCTAGGCATGTCTGTTCGCGCGTGGTGG